AAGATGGACTCAAAAAGAGATCTTTTTTCTTTAATAAAACACATTTTCCTCTGCTGACAGACTGCATGCAGGAATGCTGCCACTGCAGTTCTCTGCTGAGCTGTGCAACAGATCAGTATCTGCAGCATATGTCTCTATTTCCATACAAACTATTGCAGTCTTCTTTTCTAAACCTATAGTTTTTATGCCAGAGCTTTTCTGTGATTACAGATTACTGGGACAACATCTTCACTATCAGTTCATGGTTTACTGGTTGACTAGGTGAACTGCCTTTGAACTGAGCTTGTTTTCTTTATGTTCTCGTGGGGAGTCTTTTTACATTGTTTATTTGTTTGTTTATTATGTGGTTTGGTTTGATTTGGTTTGGTTCTTCTGTTGTTGTTGCTGGTTTTGATTAATCTGTGATTAATCTGTGATAGACTTTGTCCCCACTGCAACTTACTCTGTTCATGTGATCTGCCTTTGTTATTTGTTGGGAAGGAGTGACACTCACTGGCCAGAAGATATAGTGCTGTAAAATAAGTGAATTTAAAGGGTCTTTTGAATGGTTTTAATGTGTGTTTTGGAAATGGAAAAGGAGAGAGTGTCTTAATACATAAAAACAGGAGAGAAGCAACAATTAGCGAGAAGTTACAAGACCTGCAGGCTGTATTAGCAGCATTTTCACAGTTCTGGGTCCCTTAGCAAAAAAGTGGCACCAGTTGTCCTCCCTTACACATCCTTATGCACCTACATCTTGGCACTTTGCGACATTTTTTTTCTCAAATTTTTTGTAAACCTCTCTTTTTTTTTTGTTCTTTTTGATGTTTACAAATTTTGTTACTTTTCCTGAGACCTAATAGGAAATGTCATTGAAGATGTAGGGATAGTATCTTCAGGGTATGTAGGGATATCCAGTTCTTCTCTTTGCTTATCTTAGAGTGGAGAAGGTGTAAAGTGCACTGTCATTCTCAGGATCTTGATAGACAATATTTAGAATGGGAATAACCCTTGGATTTTTATTTATTACTAGTGAGGGCAGTAAAAGAAGACAAAGGTATTTTGAAAGGAGGTAACTGAAATGGCAGGGATCTGGAAGAAATGAAAGGGCTGTACTTGGAGGGAGTTACCATACCTTTGTACATGCATTTTGCCTAGAAATAAGATCTGCAGTAATGGCAGGAATAGAACAACAGTTTCATAAAAAAGATGAGAAGCAACAGACTGACTAGTTTCAAGAAGTGCTTGGTCCATTTTTGCTTGAGTTGTTTGCTATGCTGATTTCAGGGACCAGGCGGGTTTCTGAGTTCCTTTGACTGTTGACTGAAGCGTGCTCTGAACTGAAAGAGAGCCAAGTTCTGTGTGCTTTTAGCACTGCCCTGGTGTGTGGATAAGTCTGTTCACCATTTTGTGTCATTCTCCATTTACCCATCACTGGGATTGCTAATTGGAAGTAAAAGATGTTTGGATAAAGAACTGATGGGGCACAGAATCCAACAGAGTGGGGTACTCAGTGCCTGCAAGGGCTTCTGTGTACTAATGTACTGATCTCATTAAATGTATAAAGCAAAAGAGACTTATGACCCTGCTTTACCTTACTTTTATATCTGCATTTACTTTACATGGAAAACAGTCCTACTGTGTTAAGGAAAAGCTAAAGTTTTGCATATTCCCATGCCTAGACTATTCTGGTGTTGGATGCTGGCAACACCCTTATTCTGTAAACTCCTTACCAACTTGCTCTTTTTCATTTGACAAAGACTGGCTTGTGTTTCAGTGTCTCTCCTGAAGACTTTGCTCTGTTTTTCATTTTTTAAAGTATAACTCTCTAGTAATGCTGGACTTCTGCCCCCTCTGCTGGCTGGCTTATCTTTGGTCAGTGTAGCAGCTCACTGAGGCAAAGTTAGGTTTTTTGTGATAGATCTCTGTGCCCCCTATAACATACCACCATTTTCAAACAGATAAACATTTGGAATGGAAGTAAACCTCGTGAATAATATGCTTGACAACTTGTGTATGTTGACATGAACAAAGCAGCAGGATGGGGTGATGGGCAGTGTAACTAGTAAATCTTGAGAACAGGGCTGAGATCTACCCCGTGCTAAAAGAACTTGACTAAGTTGTATTACCTGGATCTCTTTCCTCGTTCAGCCTTATTTTTTCTAAAGACATTTCAGCCCTGGATATTTGCCATTAATGAAGAAATCATTAAGATGTATCAATAAAGTATGAGTACTTTGACTAATTCTTCAGTAACTACACAGTAATTATACTGTAACAGTAAATAATTGGTAGAGAACTTTTTAAAGTGCAAATAGGTGTCAGAAACCTATGAAGGTAGAGAACCCTTAAGAAATTGAACTGTGTGATGGAGAGAAATGGAGAAAGTAGCTAAAGGTGGAAGGGAAGAAAACTCAGGTGAGATGATCATGGTTTCTAGTGAATGTACAAAGCTTCTGCTGGGTGCTTTATCATTCCTGAACAGCATCTGATGCAAGAGAAGTAAGAGTAATAGCTGTCATCCAGGTGACACCCCTGTCCCAGTTCTGGCAGTGGACAAGAGCCCAGCATGCTCAGCCTTACAGGCAGATACTGACTGAGGCAAGGGGGGCTTCCTGAGGGAGCTGAGCCCAAGCTGGTGGGGAGAGGGGATGGCTGCCTTGCAGGGTCAACCATTGCTTCCTTTTGCTTGGAGGGACCTCAGCCGTGGTGAGACATTATGGCAGTGGCTGACCCTCCAGAGCATCCAAAACCATCATCTTGTATGGGGATGGGTTGTCTGGGATGGGCTGCAGGGCTGCTGCAGCTCGGAACAGACCGGCTGTTTGTGCTTTGTAGTTCACCCCACCCTGCTCCTCCTCCTCTGTGTCCCCTTTCTCCTCTCCAACTATCACCCATGTAGCTGCCAGAAACCCCTACTGAGCAGGAAGGGACACGGAAATTCTTGTGGCAGTCTCCCACCACTGCTAGAGTTCTTGGAACAGCCTGGAAGTGCCTTCACTGAGATTACTGGTGACACCAGGAGCCCGTTGTGCTTTCATGGCTTGGTCCACACCCTGAGAGGGGGGACATGCCTGGTTTTCCCCAAATTGAGGTTGTGGAGTGGAAGTTGCCCCACTGTGGAAGGGCAGGGGGCAATGGGGTGAGGGCTGCTCTCCTTGGGACCGCTCCTGTGGGTCATTTTCCTTGGCAGAGAGAAAGGCTGCTCCTGCATCATGGGCAGTGCTGTTGGCCTTCCCATGCAGGCCCTGTGCTCCAGACCTGGCCCCATCCTGGGGACTCTCTGCCAGAGTCACTCCCCAGTGTCCCTGCCTGTCCCAGCCCTCCCAGCACAGCCTCACTGAGCTGACTTACTCAGCCTGCTGGCCATGCTCGAGGGCCTTGGGAAACACTAAATATAAAGTGCTAACTCAGCTTCACACTGTTGAACTAAAGACTCATCGGTACTCTTTGGTCTGCTAAAATGTATAGTTTTGCTTCAGGTAATGACTGATTCTCAAATTTTATTAGAAAGGGTCGTATGCTGAATATGCCTCTCTGGCTGGGGTTTAAATACATAGATCCTAGATTGCCATAAATATTCCTTCAGCTTTGCAGTTACAAATACTTGATAACAGTACACTTATGTTTACTACTGTTTTATAAATTCTGTATTTGTGTCTTATATCTCTTCTACCTTTTAATTTCAACTACAATTAAATTCATACATGAATTATCATACAAATAAGCCTTTTAGAGCCTCTTGAGTGCACAAGAAAAGAATGTTTTCCAAAACATATTTGAATCCTCCCATATGAATCAGATTATACCATTTAAGTACAAGAGTGCACAATAGCAGATATCAGATGGAGCAATTACATAACCAGCTATCAGATACTATCCTCCTGCCTTCAACTCAAAAAGAACTAGAAGTACCCCACTGTCCATTGGGTGCTGCTAAAAAGCACTCAGTCAGTTGATTAGGAACTTGGATAATCCATGTTAATAGTGTGGATCAGGATAGGCAAATACTGAAGAAACACAAACTTGGTTCAGAGACAGTTGTACATGTAGAACTCTAACTACTGCTGAAGAAATCTAGTAATTAATGGTGGCCGTGATCTTCTCAAATCTCAGCTTTTGATTAACAGTGTTAGAGTCCTTCCAGAGCCATAGGAATGGAAGTAGTTGGGTTTTTTTATAACTTCAAATCCAGTTTTAGGCTTGAACAAGTCAGCATTGTCTATGTTAGCATGTACTTGCAATTTGCTTGCAGTGTGTGAATGACCAGACCAAGAGTGCCAGTTATGGGGATGAGAATTGTTTTCAGTGTTCATCATCCTCTGTTCTGTGCTCCTGGGGATCCCAAGGCAGTCTAAAACTCTTCAGCACTCCTACAAGAGGAAAAGGAAAGCTGAAGGGCCCTTGTGTGCCCACAGAAATTAGTGTTCCCCCAGTTTTCCTGGTTCTAGTCATGGTTTAAATGTGCTGCATAAAGAATATTGGCTCAGTCTGCCCTCCATCTGAAGGAAACACGTATTCTGGGTGTTCCATATGCAAGTAGTTCTTTGCAAAGGCTAAACCTGCATCTCTGTTGGTAGCTCTGTCTCTCTATATATACAGATATACACATACAAAATGCATCAGTGAGTAAATAAGTGGAACAGGCTGCCCAGGGATGTGGTGGAATCACCATCCCTGAAAGTGTTCAAAAAACATGTAGATGTGGCACCTGGTGGCCGTGAAAGTGTTAGGTTGATGTTTGGACTCAATGATCTTAGAGGCTGTTTCCAACCTAAATGACTCTAGGATTCTATATTATACCTTTTTGTATACTCCTTTATATCTGTGTGTATACATTTTTTTTATTTTTTCTTAAAAGTTAATGAATGCAAAATGATGGTACTCACTTGACTAGGAAGAATTAACTGATTAAACACAAAGTACTTGTGGTGCAAAAAGTTATGTGAATGCAAGATAAAACTGGATCTAAATTTACAGTTCAACTTGACAAGTCACTAAACACTATTTTCTTTTTACAGATTTCTCTTGGTGCTGATATGTTTAATATTCAGTGTACTGTCTACTATAGAGCATTATTCTGAATTTGCCACTGGAACCCTTTTCTGGATGGTAAGTGAACTTTTTTTGGGAAAGAATAATCAGTTTGACTAAATCTAGATTGCTTTGGGTGAGCAAGGGAGGCAGCTGTTAAAAATCCTCATGCAAAGCATGTTACCAGGGCATTTTAAATAGTGCCTGATTTCATTAAAGGAAGTTCCTAGTTTAATGGGGATGATGATTTTCTAAATCTTTTAACTATGAGGGTACTTTTTAGATTAGCAGTTTTTATATACTTGTTTTTCCTAAGGTGTAGCTGTTATAGTGGACAATTGGTGCTCATCAGTCTCATGCAACACGGAACAGGATATTCTATAGGAATGGATTTTTAAAACATATATTTTCTAAGTCTTATGGTAAAAAATTGTCCAAGAACCATGCTTTCCAGAAGTATCTGAATCTTGGGGGTAAGTGATTTCTGTCAGCCTGGTTTGCTAATAAATAGAACAGGAAGGAAGAGCTTCTGTCACACTTCTGTGCACCAGTGATTTGGCTTTGAAGATGGTGCTTGTTAACTGTTACCAATCCATGGGATCTTGGGTTTTGGAGCAGTTTTGTGCTTGGTATTTTCCAAAAACATTGTGTTACCTATCTAATTTCCTATTCTTCTTAGTGGGATATTAAATAGTTATTTAAACAATAGGTGGTGTGATAGAAAAACCTCCTCACTTGGAGGTATGGAAAGGTTGTTGCTTCTTTTCACAGTAGCCAGGGAATAGTTTTTTTCTCAATTGATTGTGTGGCTGATTTACAGATGAAATGTAACTGAGCCCTGAGCTATTACATCTCTTAAAAAGTATGAAAACACATCCAGCAGCTATCTATAAACAATACTTAGTGGAAACAATACCATACAATGTTTTTAAGTGTTAATTTGAAGGAGGTGGGAAATAAAAGTACAATTAACTAGACTAGACTCTAGACAATGTTCCTCCTCTGCTCCCTCCGCCCTTCTTCATATTTGAGTTAGAAATGGAGATGAAACATCCTTGATAAAAATGGAAGAAATCACTTTTAAACAGTTACTCATGATATCAATATTTTAGCCACTCAAATCCTTTGATCTCAGCGTGTGATAATCTCAGTATTCTCATTGCAGGTTTTTTTGCTAAGTGGTGACTTTTAATGTGTTTTGGAATTTGGTTTTCCATCTGCTTTGAAAATAAAGAACAGTTATTTATTTGTTTTCTGTGGCTTAGACTACATTAGATATGCAGCTTTTGCGTGCGACTGACTGAGCCATCATTAGGATCCCTGGGTTATTTTGAGATTTCGATTCATGTTAATCCTGTAACAAATGTTGCTTGGCCTTTAAGCCACACTCAGTGTCCAACAAAGTGCAGTATTCTGTGATGTTCTTACACTCACTGAGATGTCATGATGGCAGGTCAGCACAGCCACCACCCGAAACAGCAGTCCTGGCAAGGGTTCAGTGCTGCACCCATGGGTTCCGTGCAGGTGGAATGTGCATGTGCAGGCACATATTGCTGGACAAAAAAGAACCAGATGAAGACAGATGTGTGGCTCACATAGTGCCCACACAGCATTGCCAGCTATTTTTAAGTGATGTTATCACCTGACAAATGGATTGTGCATAGCCAGTGGCAGCACTGGAACAATTTCTTCCACCAACCTGGAGCATACTTCTCTGGAGTTTATTTTCCTCCTGCTCTTCCCTTAGTTTCCTTCCTAGACATGGCCAGCGTGGAGGTTGGCTGTTCTGCTGGCTACTGTAGATTCACTTGTCTAGAAAGCATTTGTCTTTAAAACTTAGTTTGGTTTGAAATAAATGAGTTCTTTTTCACAGAGTTGTGAGGTTTCTTGTTGCTAAATGGTTAGACTCCTGCTTGGGACAATTCTCCCCACCTTTACCTGAAGGAGTTTCAAACTGGGTCTCCCATTTTACCCAGGAGAGAGGTCACCTGACAGAAAGGTGGAGATTTTTGTGCCCTTTACTAGATCATTACTCTGATCTACTTCATACCATAGCTGACTGTTCATGTAACCAGTTTCTCTCACCAAAATGTGAAAACACATCCCTATGTATCCTGTCTTCTATGCCACTCTTCTCTCTTGAAAGTGAGAACAGTGGAGACTGCCAGTATAGTGAGAAAGAAAATTGGGCCAAAGCATCTATTGGATCGAGTTCAAGATTAAATTGATTTGTTTCTATCCTGGTTGAAGGACCCTGCAGTTCTTTGTATAGCCCTGGTAGTGTGTCAGGAGCAAATAAATACTAGTATGTGATGCTTGTATTATTTTCCCACTTGTGAAAAAACTCCAGTTTCATTATATTGAGGCAGATTAACACTTGGGAAGGATCAACTTCAAAAGTGTCGTGTTGAAAGTTGGTAGGGCCTGACAAGAAGGATAGCATTCACTACTTGAAGACATTCAAACGTTTTTTTGTATTTTCTTGGAGTGGGTGAGGTGGTGTGACAAATACAATTTTGGATACTATGTGTCACTGGAGTAGATATGGGACATTAGTAACAGATGTGGCTATAGATGAGTCCTAAGCCACTAAAGTCTTTGTGTTTTAAAGACTTAATTATGTTAATGTTCTTAAGTCATCTGGGTGCTCTAAGGTAATTTCTTGTCAGTATGAAACCTATCATCATTCAGACAAGCTATGGGAATTTACCAGGGAGACAATATCATAGCAAGAAGGCCCTCCAAGACAGTGTTTAGCAGTCTTTTTTTCTCCCTATTTAATTAGTCTCTGTGAACTTTTGGTGCAGATGGAGATATTTGACAGAGTTGACTTGCCTTTTTAATAACTCTCTCCAAACAGAAGTCAAGGACAATGATTGTGGGATTTCCTACACTCAATCTTGAGCCAACACTGTTCACTGTCTTTGATAGAATTGACTCCTTTGTGTTTATCTGCTTCCTGCCCAAAGGTTTTCATAAGTGCTCCTTAAATTCCATGTGACTGAATGCAGGATGAGTTTGCCATTCCTGCCCGATCTGCAGAGCTGCATCTGCCTGTGCTTTTCTGACAGGAATTTGGCTCTTGAACAGTGTTCATCTTGAAGAAGGCAAAAACCTGACAGTTTTCTTTTTGTCTTTACCTGTTGCTTGTTTGTTGTCTTTTTGTAACATAAAATTCTGTCAAAATGCATATTCTGAGAAATTAAGAATTAACTAGAAACCCTGCCTGCTTGAAGTAATTTCATACTTCAGCTCTTCACTGATAAATTTAGAGATGATTTGGCAATAAATAATTTAAAAAGTAAAAAGTAGTCCTTAAATACTAAAATTGGGGTTTATCTACTTGTTCTTAAAATAAATTTATGCACTTTTAACATTACCTTGGATCCCTGTCATAGATCAACTCTGTTTCCACTGACCATATCTCCCAGAGTTCCAACCATTTTACTTTTTTGCTTTCACTTGTTGAAATTTTCCCTGTGAGTTGAACTGATTGATCAAATCCGTGCTGATTGCTTATGATGTCTTTCAGTATAAAAATTTGGCTTGCTTAACTGTTCTTTTTGACTTTTAATATTTGTAACTTGTATGTAAGTCTTCCTTTTACACTCCTTGTTCTATGAATGATCTCTAAAATATTTTTTTAAGATTTAACACTGCAGTGTTATGCTGCTTCAGCCACTTTCTTCTCTGGGAGGTCACCAAACTTGCACGGACATGTTGGCTTCCCGAGGGATAAACTCTACTTTCTTTTACACAACAGCTTTACATATTTTCATATTTAGTATTGCTGGGTGGCTGTTCAAAGCATAAAATGTCTTGAGCTATTCTCAGAGAGTTGCTGATGTATTAGCAGAGAGTTTTTGAATGACCACAGGCAAACCTTGAAGTCATAGAATCATGGAAGGGTTTGGGTTGAAAGGGACCTTAAAGCTCATCCCATTCTAACCCTCCTGCCATGGGCAGGGACACCTCCCACTATCCCAGGTTGCTCCAAGCCCCATCCAGTCTGGCACTGGGCACTTCCAGAGATGGGACAGCCACAGCTTCTCTGGGCAGCCTGTGCCAGGGCCTCCCCACCCTCACAGGGAAGAATTTCTTCTTAATATCCAATCTAAGCCTACTCTCAGTTTGAAGCCATTCCCCCTTGTCCTGTCACTAAAGTTCCTGATGAAGAGTCCCTCTCTGGCTTCCCATCAGATACTGAAAGGCTGCCATGAGGTCTCCACACAGTCTTCTCTTTTCCAGGATGAACAGCCCCAACTTTTTCAGCCTTTCCTCACAGCAGAGGTGCTCCAGTCCTCTGATCACCTTTGTGTCCCTCCTCTGGATTCACTCCACCAGGTCTCTTCCCTTGCTACGCTCAGGGCCCCAGAGCTGGACGCAGGACTCCAGGTGGGGTTTCATGAGAGTGGAAAAGAGGGAGAGAATCACCTGCCCCACAGGAGCTAAACATCTTTAGGAGTATTTTTACATAAAGTTTTCATGGAAATTATTTTTTTAATTTAAAAAAATTATACCAGAAATACTATGTTTTCAGTAAAGTATGCTTATGTCCATCTATTTTTTTCATCCCTTCTTCTTCATGTCACTTTTAAGTAACATTTTATCCTTCCTTTTTATTGCATGTTTTAATTCCCTAATAGATAGGTAATAATTTTATCTGATTCTATGATGATTCTATTTCAAAATTATTTTTAAAAAGTTGCCAAAACCTCTTGATTAGGCTTTTGCTTATACAGCAGGAGGCTGTAATGTTTTCTTGATATCTAGTAGTTTGTGTGTCAGTTTTGATTTGTAAATGGCATCTAGATCTTTAAGGATATAAAAACGAAACTATAAAGTGGGCCAGATGTATTTCCTCCTTTGAGGGTTAATCTGATTAAGTTTTCTATGGTTAGAGGTTATATATTTTTCTACCAGGAGAGGTCACCATGGTAGTTTGCAAAAGACAGATTTTTATTTTTATTGTAAAAAAAACTTGCAAAAAGAGATCTTCATAGCTGTGGGACTAATTTCACTAATTGTGCTGTTCTAAAAACAAGAATAAAATATTATTTTTATCATAAACATGATGT